GTGGGGAGTGCTTTCTCTGTTTTCCTCTGTCTCTCCTAACCCCGAGGGGAGCGCTCTCTTTCTCCCTCTGTCTCTCCTAACCCGGTGGGGATGTGCTTTCTCTGTTTTCCTCTGTCTCTCCTAACCCCGTGGGGAGTGCTTTCTCTGTTTTCCTCTGTCTCTCCTAACCCTGTGGAACGTGCTCTCTCTCCCTCTGTCTCTCCTAACCCGGTGGGGAGTGCTTTCTCTCTCCCTCTGCCTCTCCTACTCTGGTCAGCGCACGTTTCCTCTGGTGTTTCTAAACCAAACAAAACAGAAATCCGTGTGTCGCGACCAGAGGCTCAGAAGTTGCTCTCAAGGTGCCAGCAGGACCCTGCTTCCTCGCCTGGCCCTGGTGTTACCAGCAGTCTGGTGCGGTCGGCTCGTGGTTGGAGGATGCCAGCCTCTGTGTCTCTTCACGTGGCGTTCGTGTGTCCGTGTTGCTTTCTCGGAAGGACACATCATGTCGCAGCCCCACCGTAACTAAGTACATGGGCAGTGACCTCCAGGGAAGGTCACCTGGTACCGGCAGTTGGGACTCACTGGGGCCTTTTTGGTGAAACAGACTCTCACCGCAGGAACGCACGACTCTACAGAGCCCTAAGGGTTACGTAACACGTGCCTTGCCTTTTTCAATAATCAAAGCCTCTCTAGCTAGTGCAGAAATGTAAATGCCTCAGTACCTGTACAGTATACTCTGCCTCCACATTTTTCCCCACAGTTTTTGCTGTCAGGGTACGCGTGCTCTCTAGAGACAAATCACTCACCAAGGGGGGAAGGCCTCACCACAGTCCCCTCTCCATTCTCCTCTCGGCATCTTGGGCACACATGCCCACGTGCCAGGCGTGATTTTCAAGCTGCTGGACCTGAGACTGAAACCACGTAGCTGCCCGTAAAGCCACCGGGGGAACGTTCCCAGGACTGCGGCCCCTGTGTTACCCCCAGCTACTCCTTCGCTCTTGACTCCCAGTAATAGCCCAGCCCGGGAGCGGCTTGTTCAGCTGAGTTCTAGAAGGGACTTGTGCCTGCAGGAGGACGGTGTCACGTCAGATGACGTGATGGCTGGTGCTGTGGGGACTGTGCTCCAGATGTTGGCTCTGGGCAGGTGCTTTGTCTCACCACAGCTGGCCTGGCCAGGGCCGCTCTGCTTTGTACGCATGGCTGAATCTTTTTTTTTTAATTTTTAAGTTTTTTTTAGACTTTTGCCATAGGGAGTATGCAGTCACTAGAGAGACAGAGACAGACAAGGGAAAATGAGAAGTCGTCACCCCTCCCCCTCCCCCGGGAGTTTGTCCACACTGCAGTCCAGTCTCCATTGCTCTCCCGGGACTTTGGGCACACATGCGCATGTACCCAGTGTGATTGTCTGGGAGTTGAACTGTGGTTGACCATGTAGGAGTCTAGTGCCTTACCCACCACGCCATCTGCTGCCCCACAGCTAACTTCTGACACCGACTGCACCACTTAACCCCCTGGGACCCTGACAAGTGACAGCATGTCTCTGTGACATTTTCCTCTGCACGGCTAACTGTTCCCGTGCACCGTGTTCTGTGTGAGGTAAACGAGGTACTCTCCATAGACTCTAGCTGCTTTTATGTTTGCTAGCGTGACGGTTTTCATTGGTGTCACGGGCGTGGACCTGTCTAAGGGCAGAAAGAGTAGGACCAAGGATCACAAGTCAACTGCGGAGGTTGCCGCTGACCACCCATGACAGAGCCACGTGCTTCACCGTGCCCGTTCCGCCGTGGGTCTGGGCACGGGAAGAGCTTGACAGTGTCTTTACCTTGGTCCAAGGTATATAAACGCACCTCCGTCCCTGTCTGTGGACTCTGAGCAGGGCGTAGGTTGGGGGTTACTCTGAAACTGTGAAGTGAGGTCATTTTAACTAAGCTTCGCCTTTGAGAAAGCGAAGTCAGCCCCTTTTACCCCGACATCCGAGTGTCTGCTCAGATGCAGAGCTAGTTTTGTTGTTGTTGTTGTTTTAAGAGATTTGTTGTAGGGCACCAGTGCTCACTGGGCAGAGTCAGAGATAGCAAGCCATCACCCCTCGGGAGATGACCATGCTGCAGTCCCTTCTCCGTTCTCTCGGGATTCGTGCCTGGCATGAGTTTGAACTCAATTCCGGTTCTGGTTCTGAACCCCAGTCGGCCATGTGGGAGTCCATCTGCCGGTCCCCAGAGCTGCCCTGCTGACTGCAGTGCTCGTGTGCGAAGCCCTCTTCCGTCTCCCGTCGTCTCCTGCCTTCTCTGGAGGTTGCGGTCGCATTGGTTCATGCAGGAGGATTATGAAGGGGTGGTGTGTGTGAGGCAGAGAGCTGTGGTTTTTAGGGGGAGGCCTCGTACGGGAGCGAGGAAGGGATGATAGAAGCACATCTCTTACATGTCCCCTTGACCCTAGCGGCCGCCTCTCGTAATTTAGGTGCCCCAAAGTTCCACCTCACCAAGGAGACCTTTTCTCTTTGTCTTTTTCTAGAAGACCAACAGTGAGGCTAGTCAGAGTGACACAAGTGTCTCCTCATCAGAGCCCAAGAGCAGAGGTAGTCTTCACTTCCTGGCCCATGAGACGAAACTTGGATCTCTCTTAAGCAACAAATCTTTAGATGCCAAAGACAAAGCTGGCCTCTGTCCAGGCGAAGACGATATGGAGGGCGATTCTTTTTTTGATGATCCCATTCCTAAACCAGACAAAACATATGGCTGGTGAGTGAACTGCTTTTGGATCATCAGACTAGAGGTTTAAGAATATAGTTTCTAAATGTTTGTATTTCTGTTTTAAAAATGAGCTACTAAACATTCTCTGATCACTGAACCCACGAATCTGACTGTGTCATTAGAGCCTGTTCCCGTTTAGGTCTGGTTTGTAGAAAGCGTCAAGTGACTCAGCACAGTGGGTGGGAGCGTGTGGAGCCTCCTGGTGCCGGGGCTCCTGGAGAGGCAGAGGTGGCACAGCCCTGGCCCCTGGCCGGGACGTCCCCCGCCCAGTGGGTGTGAGCTGACACCCAGTGGGAAGCACAGTGGCCGGTGGGGGCGTGTGGGGTACGGGGAGCGGTCGGAGGCTGCAGGACTGTGCTGGACGCAGTTTGTGGGAGCACCTTGGGGAGGCTCCCCTCGGTTGCCTGGCTTGGAGGTGCCATTGGAGCAGGGAGCTGAAGGAGGTGAGAGGACACCATGCAGGACCTGGCTAGGGAGCTCCGGGACAAGGAGCTGTGATTGCAGAGGTCCGGCAGCCACGTGAGGCCAGGAGAGCGCACTGACACCAGTAAGGGTTGGGCTATGTGAGGTGGGCTCCCAGGCTGGTCCGACCGTGCAGGGAACTGGCTCTCTGGAGTGAGGCTGGAGACTGGCCTCTGGACCAGCAGACATGATGGAAGGCTCCCGGGCTCCCGGGCTCCAGGCAGGGCTGGGTGCAGGGCCTCCAGGTGGGAGCCGGTGGTGGAATAGAGATAGACGGTGAGAAATAAACGGTTTCTGGAGTTGTTTTGAGGCAAGGTGGAAAGCATTTGCTGGTAGGTACTGGAGGAAGAGATGCTCACAAGGGTGCCTCGGCTTGGGTTAGAGTAACTGCGAGGGCGGCCAGCCGTCCTGGGCTGAGTGGGAAGAGCAGTGTGGGGCTGCCGGGGTCGCAGAGGCCGTGGTGGAAGCGGGGCGGGCCATCGGGTGCCTGAGACTGGCCTTACCACAGAGGTCTGGGCGGGGTGCAGCCAGGCAGTGCTTGCTTCCTAGAAGCCATTGGAACTGCCAGAGTAGGAAAGCTCACCAAGGACATGGTGCCTGCGGCCCCTTGGGGCAGCGGCTGTGTCCCTGGGTGTCAGCAGTGCATGGGCACCCGGAGCTCGGTGGTGGCCTGAGAGTAAAGTTGGTCAGGATGGCTAATTTCTGATGAGCGGTCCACGGGTGCAGAGGAGCAGGGGATGTTGCGGGGAACAGGCTCGTGAAGCTTGTCAGCCACAAGTGGAGCGGCGTGTATGGATGCGGGCATGTGGGTTTGAGGACAGCAGAGCGGAGGGCGTGGGTCTCACTGTCCTTTGGGGTGGGTCGGATGTGGCACCTGTGCCGGTTCTTGTCTGCGTCATTGTCAGTGAAGATGGAGGAGAGTTGAGGCCTGAAGTGAGTCAGGGTGTGAGATTGTTTCACAAGAAACAGGAGAGTGTGAACTGTGGGCGTGTGCAGAGTTTCTGGGTGGTATGAAATGTCCCCTGAGGCTGAGGGTCATGGCCATGAGGGAGCACGTCGGCGCGGCCGCCTGTCGTGTCTGGGGCAGTGCCCACGTGCCAGCAGACTCTGGTGCTGGCCTGTGGTTGCAGTTTCGGGTGACGGAGAGAGGCTTCTGCAAACCCAGATGGTGCCCGTGCTCACCCAGCAGGTCAGAAGAGGTGCTGAGATCTCCCGGGCGGGCCTGCTGCCGGGCTGCGGTTGAGCGTGGTCCGCAGTGCCGAGCAGGGCTGCTTGTGTGGTCGGCGTCCGTGATCTGAGGCCGCGCCTTGCGTTTTTCCGGTCCCTCTTAAGTTGCTTGTATTTAGTGGCAGGATGTCAGAGTGCCATTGAACTGTCATTTGTTTCTTGTTAGGAAAAGCGACCCAAGGAAGCCAGTCGGAAGCCTGGCCTCTCTCTCGGACGCGCCCCCCGCGCAGAGTGGCCTCAGCTCCCTGGCAGGGGCCCCCTCACTGAACAGCTCGGAGAGTAAGTGCCCGGCCATGAGCCCAGTTGAGTACTGTCTTCTCCAGTGTGGTCCCAGGTGATGGCGCTGCTGCCTTTTCCGGGGATGTTATAAAAGTAGTGTCTGATTGCATCCCAGGTATTTGGTTAATGTTGTGTTATGTTGTTAAGTTTCTGTTTGATGTCACCTCTACGTTGCTTTAAGCTCTTCCTTTGCCATCAGCATACTTTCAGGGAGTGGACCTCCCTAGCTGGTTTGCATTAACATGAGTGAATTACAATTTTGAAATTGTCCTCTCGGACATTATAATGACTTGAGTTGAATTTATGCTAAATTAATTTTAAAAAATTACCTTGCAACCACAGCAGTCATCACAGCAACGTAAAGTGAGGCACGTCTGCCTTCAGTGCTCGGGTCTTGTGTGTGCACCTGTGGTGGGGAGACGGGTCGCCTGTGAGACAGGGCACACTGCCGCACCACGCCCCGGTCCGCGTACACGGGGAGGGCCAGAGCTCACGGCACCGTGTGCACACGTGACGGCCAGGGAGCTCGGTGCACACACATAGTGTTGGCAAGGAGGGTTCGGGCAGTGCTCAGAGCGCCAGGGTACCTCTTGAGAGTCTCCTGGGTGCGTCTCCACCAGGAACTTGCAGTCTGGGTTTCGCCTGTGTCTGCAGATTTTCTAACCCTTCTGTTAGTCGTGGGGCTTCCCAGTGCACGGAAAAGAGATGGCCTGTGACCTCTCTCGGACATGGAGGAAACCGGCGCTCTGCATGGGTGCAGCCACGTCCCAGTCCTGGTCCTGGTCCCAGTCCTGGTCCCGGTCCTGGTCCCTCCTTCTCCCCCGTGCTACTGCCAGCTCCAAGAGGGGCTTCATGCTCAGTGGTAAGGCAGCCTGCCCCACACGGGGGAGCCTGTGCTGGGAGTTCTGGACCCTGCAGCTTGGGAAGTGTGCCAAGAGTCCTGAAGGAAGGCCAGAGGGAGGAGAAGGGTTAGAGGGTGACCATGCCCTTTCAGGGTGCTTCCTCCTCTCCCCCCTCCGTCTCTCTGGCAAGCACACATGCCCTCTGGCCAAAGACAAAAAGCGTGGGGAGGACAGTTCAGGGTACCACGTGACCCTGTCATTCTGATGTGATTAGAGAACGCGTTAGAGAGAGCTTTGAGCTGAAGGCTGAGAGGAGGAGGACAGGGTGTTCATTTGGTATATAAAACAGCAGGTGAATTAAAGCAGAGTTGCAAAGCTCAAAGGAAAAGTAACATTGGAGAAAGCATGTTAACGGAGCCCGTGAATGTATGCCCGGCGGGCCTGTGTGTAGAGGGGACACCTAGTTGTCCAGAGCAGTAGTAGCGTAGTTTAAAAGGGACGCGGTGCAGGCGTGAGCGCCCAGCCCTCGCCGTTCATGTCTCAGGTGCCGAGGGCACGGCATCTGCCAGGACGAGCACCACCGTGGGCGCAGCCCCGCCCCCTAGCCCCTGCACCTCCCCACCCAGCTGGGGCTCGGGGTGTCCACATGCGCCCACCGCTGGGCCGAGGGTTCAGATCCAGGTCCCATGTGGCATCTCGCTGGCCCCATGGAGTGTCATGTTCTCTTAGTTTTGAGTTGTTATTTTCCGGTCATAAAGAAGCCCCATACTGGGAGAAAAATGGACGTGGTTTACAGAGAAAAAACGTCGTACGCTAAAAGTCAGCGTGATGCTAGCGTGTATTTTTTCTGTTTGCAGGTAAAAGAGGCAACACGGCTTCGAAAGATCTGAAAGCAGTCAGTGATAAAATCGGATCGCTTGGACTCGGTAACTACACCTCCTGTTCTAGTGTGGATGGCTTTAGGCTGATGGTCTTGGAGGCGGACATACCCCATGCATAACTCAGTCTGCCTGTGAAGGCACCTTCACGCCGCCTGTCCCCAGATGTTTGGGGGCTGTGTGTGCCCAGGATCCACCTGGGTGCATGTCCAGGGATGGGCAAAGGCAACTCAGATGGGCCTGTGTCCTCGTGGAGTCCAGGTTCTAGTACGGAAGTTGATGTTGGTTGTCCCACCTGTGTTAGAAGGGTCATGTCCATAGTGTGGATGGCTGGCTTCCCCTGGGCCAGGCATCCAAGGAGGCCCCTTGCAAGAAGTGACTTTGTGCTAAGGCATCGGGGCAAAGGGAAGAGGGCTCTGGGCAGACCCAGAGGTTTGTGCTGGAGCAGGCCCCTGTGCGGGCACTCAGGGTGGACCCAGAGGTTTCCGTGGGGGCAGGCCCCTGTGCAGTGCTGGAGCACGTGGCCCAGGCCTCGGGGAGTCCAACCTGGGAAAGCAGGCTTGTGAAAAGCCAGGCTGTGAGATGCCGTGTTCAGTGGTGCTGGGCAGAAGCTGGTGAGCCTGTCATGTGAGGGTCTCAGTGGGACGGGTACGGAGCCCTGGGCTGCACATGGAGAACACGGTTCTCATCCAGTCCCTGTGCTGGGTGAGCTACAGAGAGCTGAGGGTGTGCTGGGGCACACCTCACTAGTTGCCGACCTGAGGAAATCGTGCGTCCGGCCGTTTCCTGTCCTCCCTCAGGTGCTGCGTGCCGTCAAGCTTTGTCTGCATCTCCCCCTGTAGCCACGCATGATCCCCTGCATGTCTTATGCCGTCCACCCACATGTTAAGGTGTCTTGTATGCCTCCAAGCCGTGGCTGTGGGGTTGGCGGGCCCATCTCCTCATCTGGCCTCAGGAGGCATGCGTGAGTGATGGCCATTTTGAGCACGTCCTTTCAGCTGTAAGTTGGTCTCAAAGGGGCCACTCTCCAGAGCCGCAGAGTGCCACCTCCTGAGAGCTCAGCAGGTCGGCGCTGCATGGCAGTGGCCTCCACGGACCCTGTGCTGGCCTGGTCTGGCTGGACTAACAGTGGAGTGGAGGGCCTCACTGGGAAGGGGCACCAGGCTTCCCTGGCCTGTGGGGCTTCGCGTGGAGCTTGAGAGTTAGACCTAGTCGACCACAAGCGGGGGCTCTTGCATTGCACTGTTTTGGATTTGTAGCTGTGAGTGACAGTCTCTGATTCAGAGAGGTGGCCAGAGGGGCTGAGGAGGCCTCGCTGCTATGGCACCTCCTGGGTCAGGGCGCCCCATGGGTGAGCCTGCCTGGGATTGCCCCTGGGCCCTGGGTGGATGGGTGTCCACCGCGTTCCGAATGTGGTGTGGCCCTCAGCAGCTTGTCCCGAGATGGCTGCTGTTGTCATCTGACTTCACGTCGTACACGTCCTGGCCTTCCTGGCTTCGGTCTCAGTGATGCATGCAGCACGTCAGGGCAGGCTCTGTTTTGTTGTTTCAAGCAAACGTGACCGTTTAGTGACAGGCATGTGAAGCACACATAGATACATAAATATGTGCTTTTTCTTAAACTTACCAGGGCCTGGAGACGAGGACGACTATGTCGATGACTTTAACAGGTAAGAGGCAGCGTGCAGATGTCAGGGTACATGTTCGTCAGCAGTTTCTAAGCAGACGAGTTGGCAGGAGCACGCTGGCGCTTATTCCAGTGTATCTGCTTCTCTCATCCTCACCTTCTGAAAGCGGCCGTTCTCCCAGCGCGTGGGGTCTGTCTGCTCAGGCGGGTAGACGCAGGTGGGGTGAGGCGGGCGCGCTGGTGCAAAGCCTCATGGGCTCTTTCTCCCTCGTCCCTCTTGGGGGGATTGTCTCCGTCTGACTTTAAAAATGGCCCTCTCACATCACTTTCCTGAGGGATGCCTTCTTTTTAAAAATTGCGTTTTAGATAACTTTCTTAAATACATAAGGAGAGTCTGAATTGGTTGAGCATGTGGAAGTAATATTTGTTGTGGAAATAATCAGAAATTTTAAATTAGATGCCTTAGAATTTATCTAATAGTTTTTTTTCTCTATTTGGAAATCGGTATTTATTTTTATTTTTTTCAATTTTAGGGTATTTTTTATTTTAAAATTTTTGTGAAAGGGCTCTTGCCCTTCCCAAGGTCACACAAGGAGAGAGACCAAGCACCCGACGGTGGGCATGTCGTGCCGCAGCCCCTCCTCCGTGGTTATCCTTCCCTCTTGGGGTTTCGGGTGCACACACACAGGGCCGGGAGCTGAGGGGCATGGTTGGCAGTGTGGGCTCTGGCTGCCCTGACGGAGCACAGTGCCACCTCTGTCTCTAGCATACGTGGCTTTGGAGAGGAGGCACGTGCAGTAGTGCCGTCCCACATCCGAGTATGCTTCCTGCCGTCGTGAGCGGTCACCGTGTGAGCCGTCTGGGCACCCTTCGAGTGGACTCGGCCCTTGTGCCGCCCTCGCTGCACTGTTAGAAAGGCGAGTGGGAAAGGGCGCGAAGGAAGGGCGCCTGCTCTGCTAGCAGGGGGCGCGGCGGCCGAGTGAGTTCCCTTTACAGCCCCTCTCACGGTTCTCGTCTTTCTCTTTTCTCCCCTTTGCAATCAGTACCAGCCACCGCTCAGAGAAAAGCGAGATAAGCATTGGCGAAGAAATTGAAGAGTCCCTCTCTGTGGAGCTCGATGACATCAACACCAGTGATAAAGTACGCCCCTCGTTTCTCAGGGGTGCACTGTGCGGCTGTGGGAACTTATGCGGATCAGGAACGCAGCTGAAGTTGTGAGACGTCATGACACAGTTACCTGATCCAAGGCTCTAAGAATGCCTTTAGTGAATTTGTAAGATCGTTTAGACGGTCGCTTGCTTTGGTACCTGTATGCTTTGAAATGTCTGAGCATTGTCACGGGGCGCTGGGACTGCAGCAGGGGAGGGAGGCCGCCTCGGTGGTGTGGGAAGAGCCAGCGTAGAACGTGTGGTCTCCCAGGCTGCGACGTCAGGTCCGGCAGGGCAGGCAAAGCTAGAGATGCCAGGGCCCCTGGCGGCAGCAGAGGCACAGGGTCTGGGTGTCAGTTGCAGTCCAGGGTGGGCTGCTTTGTGGGCAGAGGACAGGATGTGCCGAGCTGAGGACCCGGGGCCTCGCAGTGCCACAGCCAGCCCCCAGGCCCCAGCCCCAGGCCGGGGCACCCACCTCTTGTGTGGCCTGTGGCGTGTTGTGTGCTGCTGTGGCTTGGAGGGACCTGCTGCTTTCCACACTGAGGCGGGGCCTCGGTGCCGGGATTGCCATGGAGAGAAGGCCTTTGGGAGGTGACTTTTTTTTGTGTGTGTAAGAATTATCTATTCAATTTTTAATTTATTGTTACTATTTAATTTGCTATAGGGCACACATACTCACCAGAGAGAAACAGAGCAAAAGGGAGAAAGCAAGCTGCCAGGTCCCGGACTCGAATCATGGTCAGCCATGTGGGAGCCCAGCGTCTTCCCCACCACACCACCCGCCAGCCCTAAAAAGGTGGCTCTATAATAAGCAGTACCACCTTGTCGACAGAATTGGAGTGCGCTGTCTGCGTGTGTCGTGTGTTCTCAGGCAAGCTCTGCGTTCTCAGTTTCTTACTTGTAAGGTGGAAGGATTAACACCTGCCTAGGGAACCAGCAGTTAGCGTAATGACTATGTCGCTGGACTCCCACATAGTCGACCGCAGTTCGCGTCCCGGACCCGGTGGCTTAAAACTCACACCGGCACATGTGCTTGCGTGCCCAAGATCCCAAGAGGAGAATGGAGGAGAATGGATTGCGGCGTGACCATACCCCCGGGGAGTGATTTCTCGCTGTCTCTTTCTCTCTCTCTGTCTGTCTGGCGAGCACACGCGCCCTATAGCAAAAACCTCTCCAAAAAAAAAACCACCTGCCTAACAGGATTGTTCTGAAGGATAGGTTATAATACATAAAGGTCGGTATCAAATTGCTGACACGCTGTAGACGTAGTAGTTCTTGCCTTCACCCTGTGTCATCTTAAAAGGCCAAAAAATGCTGCTTTAAAGTCCCACCCGAGAAACTGCGGCGGGCTCTGTCTGCACGCAGGCTTTCCTGTGTCATCACAAGTCTGCTTTTGGACCAAGAGAGGGGATGGGCGTACTTATCTAAAAGGACTTGACATTTCTGTGTCCAAAGAACAGCAATATGAGAAGAGACAAGGGCAGGAGAGCAGAGCAGCCCGCAGAGGTCCATAGACGGGGCTGGTCACTTCTGTAAGAGGTCCGCATCCTTGTGTGTTACCTGGCCTAGCTGCCGGCAAACTGTGCTGGAAGGCGTGTGGGCTTGGTTACCAACACTCGGCTCTGCCACTGTGTGGAGAAGCAGCCACAGCCGACACGTGGCTGTGCCCCTGCCCTTGGTCTGGCCACGTGAGGTTGACCCAGACCGAGTTCCGTCTGACTGGGAAAGTTGGGCACAGCCCGGACCCCCAGCTGCTGTCTCCTGTACCTGGACCCACATTTGTAACTTAGGATTGAGGTGCAGTTTGCTCAGCCCCACTGGCTTCAATACCCTCTCTCCACCATTGTCTTACGTTAGCAGGCATGGGTGCACCCGTCGTGGCTAGTAGAGATCGGCTTTCTAGCCCTACACAGAGTAATCGGAAAGGACGCTTGCCCCTTTCTGCAGTGCTGGTGCAGCGGACGCTGGCGTCCGGACACCACGGCCTGCTGTCTCGGTCACCTGTCCCACCCCAGCTACCAAAGCCAGCCCACTCTGGCTGTAGTTGAAATGGTTTTTAAATGGGTCACATCACACTTTTAAGTATGATACTCTAAATACTACAGAACATCATTACCGTCATGTAAAAACAGCAAATCATAGTTTTCAGATGGGAATAGAACGTATTTTAGTGAATTTCAGTTTTAGAGAGTTGGCAGTTCATGGAAGTAGCATTTCCTCTGAGCAAAATCACACATTGGGACTTTGTCCAGGAATGGGAGCTTTAAAGAAGTTTTCTTCTAATTTTGGTTGCTTAGATTAAATTGGAATGATGTCCAAGATATCTTGTCTTTTTCACTTAAGTAGCCGAGAGTTCTCTCAGTGTAAAACGTTGAACTCTGATGACCTTGTACTAATATATGAGCTGCACGAGTTTCCCACCTATTTATGAACTCAAGTATGAACCAGCTTTGTAGGGTATGGATGTTTGGCTGCCAGCAGCTCATCTTTTACATTGCCCAGGACTCTGCTTGCATTCTCACGGAATTCTTTTCTTTCTTTTAAACAACAGCTTGATGACCTCACCCAGGACCTGACCGTGTCCCAGCTCAGCGACATCGCAGACTACCTGGAGGACGTCGCGTAGACACCAGGAAGGAAGTGTTGTCATGCGCAAGGAGCCGGGCTGTTCAGCTCCGTGGACTTCCAGGCAATCATTCTCTGCTGGAATGTCTGCTCCTCCTCATTGGTGCCTTGAGTTTCAAAAGACTGCAGATATTTTTAAAAAAGTAACTTTCCATTTTACTAAACGACATACTTCCGATTGAGCCCTGTGTGGAGGACATAATGCTCCTGCTTCGGGTGAGCGGCGCCGTGGTGGCGGAGGTGGGCGAACTGCGCTCGGGTTATGAGGATGGGACTGCGCGTGCCAGTGCCCAGAGCGTGACGGGCGCCGGGGAAGCCACAGGCTTTGCCCACCGGCGGGGGGCGGGGGTGTG